AATTTAATAACCTTTAAAGCTTAATATACCTGCTAAAAATCATTGTCACATTTTTTTTATAACTAATATATATATTATTTTTTTTGTTAAACTAATTGAATATATTATTAATATTTAAATTTATGCAAATTTTTCTTCTCAACTTATTAACACTATATATAATTTAGTAATATTATCATTATATTATTCTTATTTTTTTTTGTAGATGGATTTATATAAATATTGGACAAACTTTTTTTTAAAAAAAAGATGGTGACTTATATATCTTAATAAGTCAGTTAAAGCGGGTCCAATTTACCCCATTTAAAGAAGCGATCATTAAAAAAAGATGGTGAGTTATATTCTAAATCTGGATCAGGTAAAACGGGTTCGATTTACCCCATATAAAGAAGCGATATCATTAAAAAAGGTGGTGATTTATAATATAAATTAAATTACAATAAGAGGTCCGGGGTAAAGTCGGTCCTATTTTCATCCATTTAAAGAAGCGATCATTTTTGTGTTATATTTTTTTTTTACTAAATTTAAAATAAAAAATGTTTATATAAATTTCTCAAAATAAAAAAAAAATTGGCCGTTTATTTAAAACTCTAAGAAATAGGGAACATATTATAGAAAAACATTTGTTACAATGTCGCCAAAAATCAATTTAAATTTTTTTTTGTTTTTTATAAATATCTTGATTCATCTTGAAGAAGACACTTGAATGCCTCTGTTTAACAAATAGTCCTAATGTCCGGAATTTATTTGTAAATAATAAATTCATCTTAAAGCAGTGTAATTTGTTTTCCTATTAAATTTTATAACTGGTTTTAAAAAAAATGTTACGATTCGCGCTTTTACGAATTATATATTCTTGCTTGCCAAAAAAAATGGATCAAATAGTTATTTTACTCCTTTAAGAAAATGATAATGAAATAAATAATCAAGGGGACATAACATGACACTCCATTGTCGTCAAAAAATGGGGAACGTGCCAGAGACGTTAGTGGTAAAAAAATAAATAATAAATATATAGAATATAATTTTTTTTTTTTAGTTGGACTTTTATATGAAAAAAAAATCTCATAATTATTATTTTACCAAATGAATTGTTATGGAAGACAAGAATATTCAATATTAATGTAAAATATTGTCATAATTTTTCTTATTGTATATACTTTATAAAAATTTGAAAAATCTTTCTTTCCTTAGTGGAATAAATTGACACGAGGTGTTATTCAATTGTTTATTTTTATAAAGGAGGAAAAAAAAAATAGTATTTATAGATCTAAGATTATATTTATGTTAGAATATCAAATACAAAATTATTAGGAGGGAATGGCTATATTTTTTTTTTCATTGTCATAAAAATAATGAACGAATAAGGTGACAATTTTTTTTTTATAATATACATTGTTTAATATTTTATGTAAAATATATAAAGTTTGTATAATTATAATATGGAAAAAATTTAAAAATAGTTTCAATATTTACTTAACTACTTATAAAAACTTTAAAAATTTACGGGAGAAGATAAAAGATAAAAATTGTAAAATTCATAAACGCGTTCTAATGAGAGATCTATTACCACAAACATTGTTATTAAAAAGGTAGTAATTTGTACCTTGTAATATTTTTTTGTTTGTCTTATTTTATAATTTGAGTCAAAAAAAAGGAAAAGAATTAAACTTCTTTTCTAAAATTATATATATTTTTTTTTACCCGGAGATTTGCTAATTAGAACTATAAAATATTATATTTATTCATAGATAATAATTTTAAGAAAATAATAAATTTTAAGGTATATAATCTATTTCTTTTTTTTTTACATACAATATAATATAATATATGTGTCCATTGTTTTTATAAAGGTTTATTGCTTCATACATAATGATTGTGTTATACAAAATGAAACTTAAACGTGTATTAATAACTTTATAATTAATTGTCATTTCTATTTCTTCCTAACTTTCTTTTTTCCCCCATAAAATTATGACAATGTTTTTTTTTAAAAAATAAATTTACATAAAAATTGTCCCCACTTCTCTTTTTTTTTCTTTTTTCAATTGTCTTTCAGAAATAAAATCGCAAAAAAAGAAAAGAAAATTAAATCAAAAATTTTAAAACATAAATCTTGTAAAATTGCCAAAAAAAATGAAATTTATTTATTCAAGTTTGAATTAAATAACTTTATGGAATATTTTGGCGGGGTCGAGCAAAAGTTAAATTCCAACCAGGCAGGACTTGCAACTTAAATTTTGCTATTTTCCGATCTCTAACTTGGAGAACCTTAAAATTTTAACCAAATAAAATGACGTTTATTTTTCAAAAAATACAAGAAAGAAAGAATAATTGAAAAGTTAAATCGTTATGGCATCGCTGGCCCTTATTATTTGGACTTGCTAAAAAAAATATTTTTTGATTATTAATGGTTCCAGAATTCATTACATTCTCGAAGGAAAACTGGGTGTTGGAGTTTTTAAGTTTATAACTCGGTTTCATTTTTTTCTGTGGTTGGCTGCTATAAAGTGATTGAGTAATTAATGAGTCTCAATAGTATACTAAATATTAGCTCAAGCCAGATATTTAGTGTTTCTATATTTTTTTTGATCTAGTTTGATGCTAATTTTAGCAATTTTCTTATATCGCTAATAACTTTTTTTTTCTTTAAACGATATCAAACGGATCAGAAAAAAACACACTAATTAAGTTTCTGGACTAAATATTAGAGTCCTGTATAACCAATCGGTCAACTTGGTCTCTGAGCATGTGGTAGCATCATCAATAAAATATAGATCCGGCTCGTAGTCATAGACAATATTAATGGTATAGCTCCTTCAATATTTTCTTCATATTTGGCTGTTTGAATATCATTAAAATAAAAGTTATTCATTTTTATATCATATTTTATAATAAAATAGCTAATAGTCATTATTATCAAAGTTATTATTTGAACATTTAAATCTAATGTATTAATAAATATTGTTTGAGATTTCTTCCCATCTATGCTTTTTTCAATTAAGACCTATATTACTAACTGCTTAAAGGACTAGGTATTGCTTAAAAAAAATCTCATGATTTTAATAAAAAAAGGGGCAAACTTTTCTGCTATTTAATTAGACCTAATCTGGCGGCCTAGGAAAAATCTTCATTTTTCAAAAATAGGCGCAATTAGGTTTTTAACAAGATTGTATGGTATACATTAGTGTTGTTAAAAAGCCCTATTCGGGTCGATTCCAAAAATTGCACATAACTTGCAGAAAAGCTTGGATCTAGTTGCCAAATCTCGATGCTTACATAATATTATTTTAGCTAAAATCTTAATCAGACAGTTTTGGAAAACGACTCAAATCAGGCTTTTTAACAACACTAGTAGACATAGTAATACAATTTACATATTAATTTATTATATTTAAATTTAAATAATGATTTTAATATCGAATGATGCAAGAAATTTTTTAAATTTATATAAAATTACAAGATAGCTTTATTTATATACGCTACGATGCCATCATATTGAAAATAGATGGTGAGCTAGGAGACTCGGCTTAACATAATTTGCCTGGCAAAAATTGCCAGCGGCGTGCGATATTATACATAAGGTTGTATCCAAAACTTATTTCACTTAAAACTTTAAGGAAGAATAATTAAACACAAAATTTAAACCATTTTTAATTTTCCATAAAAAAAACGCGTTTTTTGATAGTTTTAAAAATTTTCGAATTAAATTTTTTCAATATTTTGGGCACAGAATAAATCAGTTTAAATTAAAATAGAAATAATTTAAATTTAAGAAAATTTATTATTTGCCTTTTGATTGGTGATCTAAATTTGATATATTATGAAAAATTTTGTTAATAAATAATTTATAGGTAAACTGTCGCACCTTAAAAAACCTCTTTAATGACCCTGAAGAGGATGACAAAATTTGTGGAAACAATGGACAAAATTATTTTCAAGAAATATAATTCTGGCTCATTTTAATCCAAGTTTTTTAATTATTGCTTGGAAATTATTTTTATATTAAAAATAAAAATATTTACAGAAAAAATTTTATAAAATAAAATTATTTATATATATTTTATTTATATTTTATTTTTACATGATGATGAAATATAAATTTTTTTTTAAAAAAAAGGATTAATATTAAAATTTATAATTTTATTTTATTTTATCATTTAAAATTTAATATTTAAAAAGGAAAAGTAATTTCGAAAATAAATATAATTTTTTCTTTTTGATTTCAAAGTCGCGTTAATTTGCTTTAAAAAAAGAAAATCATTTTAAAAATTCATCAAAAAAAATAAAATATTATTATTTTATGAATTTAAATACATGGAATCATCTTTCAATTTATTCACAAAAAAGGTAAATATATTTTTTTAATTATTGATAATTTATAAATTCGGCTTTTTTAAAGCTTTTTTTTTTTGTAAAATGACATTTAACTCTGGTCAATTTAGTTTGGTGTAGTATTCATAATATACAATTTTTTAAATCTTCCCATCTAAATTTTTATTTTAATTATTACGATACGTAAGTTAACCCTCCTGTCTTACTTTAAGGGTCTGACAATAATTTTCTTTTACAAAAAAAATAAATACAACCTATAATTAAAATTGAAATCCAAACTAATTATTATTCATATTACGCATTTCGAAATAGTGATAAAAAGTCAATATTTGATCATTTAAATATTTTTTATTTTAAATATGTCAACTTCCTTTCCTTTTGGGTCATATTTGATCCAAATCACATTATATATATTTTTTAAATGAAATGACCTAAATTACCTATGCGTAATCCCTTTAAATTAATAAATGAATATAACAGAATGTTATATATGAAAAAAAGGAACATTTATTTTTTTTAATTTTTATGAAATTCATGATTTTCAATTTTCAAAATTTTTATAAATATAAATTGCTATAAAAGCTATTTCGTAATGATCTCATGACGGATTTTGAATTTTTGTTCACCAAAAGAGAATAACAAATTATTGATTAATTTTATAAATGATGATAACTCCACCGGACACTAATTCTTACCTATCCTCATCCACCTCTAAGGACCCGGGTGGTGCGACGAGTAAACTGGGAAAACCTATTGCCAAAGAAAAAACCAGCCCCGTTCCTATAACTCTTAGACGCGATAGGCCCGCTAGAAAACGAATCCTATCGAGCGGACATTTGGATAGCGGCTATTTCTCTCCCTTCATTTGCACCTTTTGTTTCAACCCATATTCCGCCACTCAGGAATGCTCCAAAGATATAAATCACACTAATGCTATTATTCCTTATATCGAAGATACCTTAGAATTTTGTCGATGTTCTTCGAGGCTCAATAACGACCAAACTTGCTCCAACAACTCCTTGCTCATTAATATCCGCAATAATTGTTCCTCAAAAAGTGGTAGTAAAAGTTGTAGAAAACTAAACAACAGATTTAATTTCGACCATTTGAGCCCCGTAGACTTCCAAGAGGAATCGAGTGAGGAAGATGAAATTTCAGATATCTCGCCTTCGCCGACTGTTATCTCTACCCGTTTTTTGTCGTTGGATAAAAGGTTGACAAGTTATCCACTACATAACCAGCCAAATAATCTCAACATCATTGATCTCACTAGCAGTAACCGCCATCATAACTCTTCGCGAACATTCCAGGAAACGTTAATCGGCGCGAGCAATAACTATACGCAAACGAATAACGCGATTACCTCTTCAGACTCCCCTCTTTCGATATTATCTTCCGACTCAGAAACATCGACCATTTCAAGTCCGATCAACATGGACAAGACCGATTCAATTATATTGCCCCATGACGGTTCATTACCTAAAAGTATAATTTATATTTTTGAAAATAAAATAAATAGAAATCAAAATGAAAAGAAAGAAGAAAAAAAGGAATTAGGATTTTTCTTTTAAAATTAAACTGGTTCTCACGATCCTTTAAAAAAAATTATAGTTTGGTAGTCGATTAGCGAAAAATAAAAAATTAATCCCATCCCACTTGCTAATATATTTATGTATTTTTTTTTGTAAAAAATAGGAGGGACAGGGGAGAGATTAAGTGTTAATTACGTAATCATTCCTTTTTGAATAATCTATTCTTCTTATATTTTAAACAAAAGGGGGATCAATTGAACCTTTTTTTCTTTTCAATTTTATATTTATTCAAGTCCAGTTTTTTAAGAAAAAAAAATTAAAACTCATTACATAATATTTTAATAAAAATTATCCCAAAAGTGCGTGGGAAATTTTTATTTAAATCAAATTAATTCAAGATTTTTTTTTTTGATTTTGTCGCAAATCATTTTTTTTTGATTATTTTTATATTAACTTAAACTTTTATTTCTTCATCTCACTTAACTTGTTAAAAGGATTTATTTTTTAAGAGATGTATTTTTTTAATTAATAATTTTATATATTTTATTTATTTTTTTTTAAATTTCTTTTATAGCCATGATTTTTTTACAATTATTATTAATTTATTTTTCTTTATTTATTTAATTTTTTTTTTAAATGCATTTTTGGCTTTTAATTTTTTTTTACTTTTTTCAACTCTTTTACTTTTTCCAACTCTTTCATTTTTTTCTTCTTTCTAATAATTATAATTTTTTTTTTGATTTCTTCTTGGCTTTGAATTTTTATAAACTTTTTCCAATTATTTCATTTTTTACTCTCTTTCTAATAATTATTTTATTTTTTAATTTTTTTTTCTTCCATTTTCAATTTTTTTATAAATTTTTTTTAAAAAGTTTGGAAATCATTTTTTGAAAAAAAAAAGATACGTTGTAAAATGTAAAAAAATAAAACAAAACAAATTTTTGTAAAGAAAAAAATTTTGTTCACACAGAAAAAAAAACCCAGGTGCAAAAAAAACGCGCCAATATTTTATTATTTTAAAAAATAAATTTTGTCAAAATTTTTCTTCCCCCTTTTATTCTTTATTAATTCTTAGAGTTTAAATTTTTTTTTTCCTTCCACCCACTATTGTATTTTAATAATGATTTTCGAGGGTGGTTTGTGATTTTATGATTTCATTAAAATATTGAATACATAATTTTGCGCTCAAAAAAAACATAATTTATTAATATAAAATTATAAATTTTTGTTATAATATTAAAAAAAATAAATAAAAATTATCCGTCGAGACAAGATTCAAAAAAAATAGAAGAATATTTATAAAGGTAAAAACTTACCGACCCATTCTGATTTGAGAACATGTTTTTCTAAAGATATATAAAAGTTGTAAGATATTGTAATCAATTTATAAAAGATAAAATAAAATTATAATTAATGATTAAGATTAATTAACTAATATAATAATAATAATATAAAAACATGTTTTAATTTTTAATTCTAAAGTCAAAAAAAAATACATTCGATTTTTCTATAATTAAATTTAAATGAAATCCTGTCTTATTTGGGTTGATTCCTTATAAAATATTGTAACCATCGAAAAAGACTATTAAATATATATTTTTTAGACTAAATAGAATAGGCCCGGATTTTTTTAATATTTTGTCAAATTAATATTTAACATTTATTTAGTGTAAAGTTTCAAAAGACCAATTAAAAAAATGAGCAAAAATTAAATTGAGATTTTTATAATTATTTTTTTAATTATACCCCTTTACTAGTAGTCTATACCCTTAAATCGTTATTAACCACCTTACTAAAATTGGCATTCTAATCTAATTCGATGAAATTTTTGGTCCCTTTTGGGATCGCCAAAATTAGACCAATGTTTACTCTATGTGTTTAGGTTAAATTTTGTTTTTATTAAACCTCTTTACATTATAAAAGAAAAATTTGGCCGCTTGATTCTTCCAGAGATTTGCGGAGTGTATATTTTCAAAGTCCAATCTGCCCCGATTTAAAAAATTTAGTTCAGTTTTGACCTGCGCCAGGGTTTTTTTTAAATATTAAATGTTAACGTGAAAAGCGATCTAATATTTTTAATGCCCAGTGAAATCATGCTATTTTTTTAACGAGTTAATTAATCTGATAATTAATAGTTATTTATAAAAGTTCAAGCCCTACCCGTGTTGATAAGCCCTGATTTTTTTAGAATTGTATACTGCTTGGCTCTATAATACACCGAATATCTGGCCCAAACTCAACCCCCTACCCCCCTCATTGAATAATCTAAAAGATAGCTAATATATTTACAATCCTCAATAGAAATTTTTATAAGTGTCCGCCACCTCTTATCTGGACCGTCTATTCGTCCAATCTTCGCGAGGCATTTCCCCGTCTCGGATTTATTTTTTAAAATTATTTTTTACCCCCCAAGACACTAAGTCTAGTATATCCATTGTTCTTTGGAAAAAAAATGGCCAATTGTTTAATTTTTTATCAAATTTCAAAAAAGAAATAAAAAATTTATAATCTGACCTAACTGATGTAATCATAAAAAAAATTAGAAAAAAGGTTTTAGGGAAAGAAAAAGAAAAATGATTTATGATGATGAATATAATACTTTCTATTTTTTAAAAAAATAAAATATAAGAATCTCAACTTTAACCCCATTTGTTTTTTTTATAAATTTTAATTATTAATTTTTAAAAAATAATTTTTTTGTTTTATTTGTTTTTTATTTCATTTTTTTAAGAGAAATATGTAAACTTTTCTTTTTTCAATTTGCTTTACGCATATATATATTTTTTTGAAGAAATCAGTCAAAACGCCACTGCACAGCTGATTCTAACAATTTTTTGCTTTATTAAAAAATCAAATATTTTAAGAAGTTTAGAAAACCTTATAGAGTTTGTTTTTTTTGGGCCTGCCCAATTATAAAGGAAAATATAAATATAATTAATTTTTTTTTTGGATTTAAAGATCAAGATATATTTTTGTTTAGTAGATGAAGTTCAAAGGGTGAAATATAGGAATTTATTTTTTTACTAATATTTCGATTAGGTGTCTGTGTTTATGCTTATAAAAATAAATCAAGTAGTTCATCAAGGAAATTAATTTAAGGGCGCGTTCTCGCTGTTTTTTTAAAAAAAATTGATATACGCATGCTCAAAAAGAAACCTCACCTTCGGATTAAAATTTTTCATATACCTCGTGGTGTTAGCACAAAGCAAATTAGTTACATCTTGAAACGGCAATTTTTTAAGGGGGGGGGGCGTGAAAACCTCCGATGAAAGCGAAATAAAATTTCGAGTCTGAAATGATTGACAGGTTTAGACTAAAAATTCTGTTTGCCTATTTTTCCTAGTGAGCTCGAAAAGAGTAATAGAGTTTCTAAGCTATCACATCGATCACAATATAAGAGAGAAGGGCTTATTTTTCTTTCATGAATGATATGGGAAAGAACTAATATATATTATTTTTTAAAAAAGAGATTTAAAAATTAAAATTAATTTTTGGCTAGTTTTTATTCCTAAATTTAAAAAGGAATAAGATAGACCCGCTGAGATTGTTAAACGACTCCCCATCTTGTTCCTAAATCAAAAAAGGGATAAGATAGACCCTACTAGGGCTGTTAAACGACTCCATTTACACGATTTAAACTAAGATAATAACCAGACTAATACTACGCAAGTCTCAAGATTTCGTTAATAGAGATCCAAATCTTTCTCATATATTTGAACAAAATCTCCAGACTTGAGTTATATTTTAGTTAAATCGCACCTTTTAATAACATTAGATCCCACGGAGATATGATGCTTTCTAAGCCTAAGCATTATAAATTATCAAAAATTTTCTTCTCAATATATTTATAAATCCATTATTTTTGTTTTTGTTTGACGCGGCAGTTTAAAAACCAATAATTAACAAAAACAAAAAATAAATAAATTAGTTTTTTTTTAAAGATTTTAAATCAAGGTAAGAAACTTATTGAAAAATAAAAATAATTATCGTGTCTTTACAAAAGACAAACGTTTATTAAAACCCCTTTAAATAGAAAGGAATTAAATGAGCATTAAATTTTTTATTTATTTAAAATCCTCTCTTTCCCTAAAATTAAAGGTCGGGCTTTAAAAAAAATAAAATGTAGTTTAGATAGTAATTATTTCTTTTAAAAAAAGGAGATTTTGTGGAAGGTTTTTTCTCCCCATTCCTCGTTGATGTATATATATTTTTTAATCTTATAAAAATAAATAAACATCTCAAATAAAAAAATGATGAATCATTAAATCGGCAGAAAAATATAAATTAATTTTTTAAAATTATTTTGGAAATCGAAACAATGGAAAAGGTCTTTGTCTCTTAAAAAAATATAAATTGCGACAATTATTGTCAAAAAAAAATTTTTTTTTTGTAAGTCACTGTTACAGTTGATTTAGAAAATCAATATAAATTTTAAAAATCACTTTTGACTTTACCTTTATAATTATTACCTGTGATCATTTATTTTTATTACGTAATTTTTTTCTTCTTCAATATTTCTCTTCTTTTTTTTATTTAAAAAAAAATAAGATTTAGGTCAATGTTTTTAAAAAATAAATAATATTGAAGGAAATTTTTTATTACTATTACAAATATATATAAAAAAAGTCAATTGTCATTTTGTGCAATTTTCATAAAAGTCAAAAAAAAAAGCTAATATATTTTAATTATTTTAAAAAATATATATACATAGTTAAAAATAATGGATAAGTTGGGAAGAGAATTTCAGGTGGATTAAGTTGAAATGAAATTTAAGAAAAAGGGAATTAAAGAAAACGTAAAGCTATTTACCATTGTAATTTGATCTTCGCATTTATTTATTAAGCTTCTTTTTATCCCCCCCCCCTTAAATAAATTTCTGGTTAATAAAAGGTAAAAAAAAGCATATAAATATATATAGGTAATAATGGTTGTCGTTATATAACTGAATTTTTAAAATTAAAAGTAATCCTCAACCATGTCAAAATGTTAATGAAATGAGATTATATAAGAAAAGGGTTTTATTTGTTTTTCATTTTTTATTTGTCATTTAAAATTTTTATATTTTTCAGATTTAAAATTTTATTTAGAAAAATAATTTTATTTAATTTTTTTTTAAAAATAAATTAATAAAGACAAAATCGTGTCTCAAATTCGATTGTCTAGACCAGACAAATCATCCCTTTACCTTAGGAGGCAAAAGAGCAAATCTCCCGATGCATTAATCCCTTCACTTACGTCCATCAAAAATGTCCGCATATCAATCAAAAACGATTCTCGCGTATTCGCCGAACCAAGGATATTCGAAACGAGAACAAAAATTGCCAGAATTCGAGATAAAGCGCTCGTGTGTCAGCGAATCGGAATACAGCTACGTCATGTGGGCGATTCTTTTGATCAATCACATCTCGCTGCCAGCCGACCCTTTTGGCGAACGTTAGACCTTATGAAATTATGCGGGAAAATAGTCTATTCTTCCTTAACCAATTATTGAACTTAATTTCTTTTACAGATCCAAAATTTTTTTTAGAAAAGAATTAAGAAGTGCCTTCGTAATTTTGTTTTTTTGCTAACTTTTTATTGTATTTTAAATCGATTTTGGAATATATATTCTTTTATAAGATATATAAAATTTTCTCAAATTTTTATGATTCAAAACAAAAATGAAATCAAAATTTTCCATTTTATTACTCATCTTTAAACCTCTTCCAATTTACACACCATGTCAAAATCTTCATTAAACTTTTATTATATCTTTTATATTTAGTTCCCCCTGGGTGCAATCTTATTACATTTTTTTTAAAAAAAATAATAAAAATTTCATATTTTAAAATGGTTATTTATTTTTTTTTATTATGTCAAAAAAAAAATTTTGTTTAAAACATTTACATAATAAATATTTATCCATACCCTTTTCATCACCAAAAAAAACATAAAACAATGTAACGTATCTTATGATATATAAATTAAATATGTACAACTTGTATTATACTCTACTTACTTTTGGCAAAAAAAAAGAAAAACCAAATACCAATAATAAACAAAATTAATCTCAAAATATTCATAAGGATCTCAATATTTTCTTGTATTTTAATATATTTTTTTTTTGAATAATTGCAGATATATTCAAATCCCTGTTTTTCCACGAGCCTTTTTTTATTATAGCCATTTTATAAAAGAAAACATCAAAATACAAATATACTACCATTCATTATCACTTAATTTAATATTTAATTTATATATATTTTTGGATATTTATTGTAATATTTCTTGTTTTAAATAACAAAAACATTTTGGTGAGTTTGTTAAAATTTACCCTTTTTTTTACAATGGCTATTTTTATATTAATTAATTTTTTTTAAATATAATAAGCTTTTTTTTTGACTATTTTTGTCAAACAGTTTTATAATAATATTATTTTTTCTTTTTTTGTGAAACTACAAAAAGAATATAGTTTATATTATATACAAAATAAAATATTTATTTTCCTAGAAAAAAATAATAGAGTAATTTTTGCCTATCCTAATTTGTGTTTGGATAAAATATTTAAGTTAAGTTAATCAAGGTGTAAACTAGTTATTTGCTTGGGGCATAATTCTAAGCCCGGCCCGATATTTTATATTTATTTATTTACCCAGTGAAGCCCAGGCCTGGAATTATAAAATGAATTAAATGCCCCTCCAGTCAGGCCCGAATTTATTTAAAAAATATTCAGCTCAATCCGTAGACTAAATTTATTTTGTATGCCGGTTCAGTTCCATTCGGGTTCTTAGTTTAAAATTTTTTTTAATTCTATTAGGAGTTTTTGAACAAGTAGTAAATAAGAAATATAACATAACCATATATAATGTTGTACTAGTTCTCATCGAACTCGGATTCATACCACTTCACAAACCATAGCTTAGAACAAAAAAAATTCTCGGTTTGTGGTGAGGTATGAAATCCGAACCTAATGATCTTAACTAATCTGCAAAATATTAATTTTTTAAAAAAAATATTTTGATATATGCTAAACATAGGCGTATCCAGGATTTTCTTATAGCGAGGGAAAAACACTAATAGATGAGTTTTTCCAGCCATAAATTTTATTGGATGTCTTTAAGGTCCCCTTAATGGTATTAGCTATTTTATTTTTTTTATAAAAAATTAAAAATTTAATTATAGTCGTAATTTTAAAAAAGTTATTTATTTTTACTAATAGAGTGATATTGTATATATTTTAAGGGCAAAAAGAGGGGAGGGGTGTAGAAGGGAAATTTTTATTGGCTTTAAAATGATGTTTACGAGAATAGGCAAATTTAATTACGTGCATGATGCTAATAATTTAAAAATATTAATATGTAAAAAGTTTAAAATCATTAAGAACAGGTTTTCGAATGTATTCATACCAGTTCCTCTATTTTTTCCCATTCGATATTTTATTATTACGGGTTGATTGTGGTTCAAAAATTTATCACCGTTTCATTCGGTACCCTGAACTAAATAAAGATTCCTTTGGAAAGAACTTTGATTCCAATACGCTATTTGAGGCGGAAAAAAATATTGTAAAAAAAAATAATTATCAGTTTGACAAATAACACGGAGCATAGGGTGCCTAATTAAGGAAGGGGAAAAATAAAGTTCATTTTTATATTTTTAAATTAGATTATTTTTATAATTTAATTTTTTTAAATATATTTTTTATTTTTCATGAGGATTCATAAAAAATTTTCTTTCAGGTCATGATACGATTAATTTGTAAATTGATTATTACAATGTATTTTTAATTTTTATCATCAACCTAATAAATTAATAAACAAAAAATAATTTTTCGTAAAATACAAATTCCCCTAATATCTTATTTCAATTAGGGAACGCGCGTGATAAGAAAAAGAGAAGAAAAAAAAAATAAGGGTTTGGAAATGACGACAAATGATTTTAAAAAATATATTTGAATTATTTTAAGTTTGAAAAGTTATACCGATTTTATATTGATTTTTTTTTCCAGTGTTGTAAAGTAACATCGTTATTTCTTTTTTTTAGGGGAAAGTAACGTCATTCGTCATTATTTTCGGATAGTAAAGATATTTATTGAAATGTATGCGATATTTTAAAATATGGAAGAACTTAGATAATGATATAAGTCTAACAGAAGGAGCAGAAATCTCTGCTGATTTATTATTTCGATTAGTCTATTTTTTACTGAGAAGAAATATCAGATTTGGCAGGTTATAGATAAAAATTATTTAATTTTATTAATCATTCTTGAGTTGAGCTGAGCTATTATTCAAAATTAATTTATAAATTATTTAATTTTTTCTTAATTTAAAAAAATATATATAAATTTTATGAAGATTTTAATCAGTTAAATTTTTGGATCACAAAAATAATTCTTTAATTATTTTAACAAATTACCACAATTAAAATTCTATTTTATTAAATAATAAACTACCCTTCAGTCGTAGGCACCAGTTGAACGCGTCTTTAGCACAACAAAGTTGTTTTAAGTGCTAAACGAAGGTTTCTCATTGTTTATCAAATCATAATCTTGATAAGCAATTTGTTAAAAATAAATAGAATGATGTAAGGTAAAGTATAATATAGAGACCCAGACTGGGCCGTATTTAATTTTTTAAATATGCCCGAGCCTAAAAAATTTTTTCACAAATACTCGGCTGGAATGGAATATTTTAAAATCGAATATTTTAAATCGTTTAAAAAATCCGGGCCGGGCCAAAAATATAAAACCCGATAATATAATATTTATAAAATGTGTATCACCAATTTTTAATTTTCATACATTATATAACATATAACTATATTTTTCAATCATAATAATTTCTATTTTATGAGTCGTCTATCTCCATCTTTCCTAACTTTACAAAAGAGCGTTTTTAAAAAAATGGGCCACCTATTTTCAAAACGGTAAGAAGAAATTTGGTATTTTATTTATTTAAGGTCACACTGAAAATAATATATGAATCAATTTTCATATATAATGCAAATATAATTTTCCGGAAAATTACAATATAATTTTTCTAGATGTAAACATAGAATAAAATTTATGAATTTCAATTGCAAAAAATTCGTAAAAAACTTCTTTGTTATTCCAAAAAATCTTCAGGATTATTTAGGTGGTATACCTTAAATGGATTGGATGAATTCAAAATTGGTAAAATACGCTAAGCTCAAGGAAGGGGCTATAAATCTCGATTTTAGAAAAGACCCACATAATAAAATTTTATTTGATATAATAAAAAAAAAATTAACTTTTTCAATCTGACTATGTACGTTGTTAATCGCTTAAATATTCGAATGTCCCGTTTCCGAGTATTTTTATGTTATGCTTTTAATTGAAAGATGCTACATCAAAAAATGGATCAAACTAATGGACATGAGGGAATTACGATTTTGCTGAATACATGAATACGACCTCAAAATAATTTCTTTAAGGTGAGGTAAATCTTCTAAAATTAGATTTAAAATTTTTGTTAAAGCTGATGCAATATAATTGGCACTCCGCCCTGAGATCCTCTCTCACCATATAGCACAATATGCCCTTTAATTGATGTTACAATGGGCTGTATGATTATAAGTGTTTAATTAACGTTTGAAGGAAAATGAGGATATGTTTAAGTTTGAAGGGCCAGAACTTTTTATAGGTCAAACAAACAACAGAGACCTTGCGGTCACTCGATAGGAATTTCGTTGCTCACTAGAGGAATTTTTATTATTTACATGCTTGTTATATTTGGATAAAAATTCAATGTCGACTGTTTAATTTTAAACTCCTAACACTATCACTTTTTAGTTTATGGAATCCAATGCAAACGACGTTATATTTTTAAAGTAACGATTACAGAAAATAGAACTAGTTCTTAAAAAATATATTTATTTTGGCATATCTGAATATTCATATCTTATAACTTGGTACGTAGATTTTCTTAGTATTTCAGCAAAAAAAACAATTTTTCTTATCAATTAAAAGGATCCTTGTTAATATTTCCTATTGAGTTTTTAACATTTTCACAATTGTTCCATTTACGTTTTCTAGGCATAATGATTTCCATTAAATGTATAAACATATTTTTTTTATTTTGTTTTATTATCTCCTATTATTTTTTAATCTTTTTTGAACATGAAATATAATTATTGTATTAACGTTATGGAATTGTTTAATTATATATTTAACAATTTGAGAAATAAAGTTAAAAATGCAAAGTGAACATATTTTTGGTTTTTAGGTATAAACCAACATTCTTCTAAAATCTCAAAGATGAAAGATCTAGATATCTTAAATGATCCAAACACTCAGATCAAAGGTCAGGCATTTCCTACACTTTGTCAAGAGCTAGGGTATAGTTGCCGGAAAGCATCAACAACACAATACCATTTTTGACAGTGAAAACCGCTAGTGCTCTTCTTCCTTAATGACCCCGTAACACGAAGGGTAGGATACAGAGCAGTTGCGACATTTAGATTTTAGGGAGTTTAGGGGGAGGGGAGGGACCCTTT